AAAAAAAAAAAAAAAAAAAAAAAAAAAGGTTTAAAAACTGCAATTGCATCTCAGGGGCCTGGACCCACTAGCGAAGTATTCTACCATGTGTGACACAATTTTATGGTTTTTTGGAAAATACAAAGTGATTTTTTATTTGCATGAATGGATCGTTTTTTGATTTGAAATGAATTGAAATAGCACATAAAAGTATGAAGAACAGCTGTGCACCCAAATTCATGGGTTGGTAAGATCTCCTTCACGTAAGTCGTCGTAGTGATGTACCGTGGCAATAAAATGTGTCCACGAACACAGTCACGAGGATGAACAAGTAACGGGTATTGGGATACATTCATCACCATGTATCTCATGATGCCTCGAGCAGGCCATCCGACAGACGCGGAAGCGTTCCTGTCTGATCCACCACAATATTCGAATTTCACATTTCAAGTTTCTCAGAGCTGAAAAAAAAACAAAAACAAAGTCTGGAAATCAACCCCCCCCTTTTAAATCCATAAAATCCAGACTTCCCGCCCACGCAAAGCCACGAGCTATCATGTCCAACTTTGTTGGGTTTTCTTTTTTCGACCCATCTCATTGGACAGGAGGTGGGCATCTTTACAGTCCCTGCTCGGAAACTACCCGGCCGTTGAGATCCAATGTATTCGACGGCCGTACTGCATCACTCGAGGCCACACGTGATCGAAATCCTGAACGGAGTGGTAGAATACTTCGCTAGTGGGTCCAGGCCCCAGGCCATGGAATTAAAAAGTATTACTGAATAATTTGGAAGGGAAAAAAAGAGAAAAAGAAAAAAACAAGCTCTAGTTTTGATCCCGAGCCTTGATCAAGAGATCGAAAAAAGGCAAAAAGAAAAAGAAAAGGAGAGTTTTTGTAAGGGACACGGGGCCCGCTTCCCGGTTTGTATAATATAAATGTTGTTTAAAAAGAAAAAAGAAAAAAAAAAAGAAAAGGAGAGTTGAATCTGCGCGCCACAGAGCATGAATTTCCATCTTAACCATTCATCTGGACTCTAGAGATCTGGAGCATTGAAGCTACAGTTGGGCAACATCTAGGCACCCCTCTATTCCAAAGCATCACCAGAGTCTTTGACGACGGAGGGAAAAGGTCTGAGATGTCCGAGAAAGGCCGCATTGGGATGGGGGAATCCTTTTTTTTTTTTTTTTTTTTTTTTTTTTTTTTTTTTTTTTTTTTTTTTTGTTTGTTTGTTTGTTTGGAGGAATCCAGGTTCTGTCTCTTATACA